AGACAAGTGGATGTGGCACTTGGGGACATGGGTTAGTGGTGGCCTTGGCAGTGCTGGGGTGGGACTCGCTGATCTTGGAGGACTTTTCCAACCCCAGTGACTCTGTGATTCCATATAAACGTGTGCAGGGCCAGGAGTTGGGCTCACTGATCCTGATGGGTCCCTTCCAGCTCAGCACATTCTGTGATTTTATGACTTGCAGCAGCTCTGATGAGACCATTCCCCCTCAGGGAGATTCCCAACCCACCCACTCCATTCCATGGGAGTGATCCCAGCATCCTGACCAGGCCCCTGCATGACCTTAGGGTGAGTTCCCACTGCTGAACTGCTGGTGAAATCATTCACAGAGGACATTCTGGCCTGGATTAGTGGCCCTGCTGTCACCAGAATGCACGGGAAGCAGAAGCCAAACTGTCTAGAGGGAGCAGGAGACGGGAGGTGGGACACACAGCACGAGTCCAGTTACGCCACATTAAGGAATAATGGGAAAGAGCTCATTAAACCCTCACTAATTGTACCTCATTCTCATGAGAACAAAAGACCTGGGGGGCAATGCAGGGAGAACAAGTGGCAGTGGCCTCACAGAGGGGAGTCAGCAGAGCCAGGTCAACCCTCAGAGAGAGGGTGACAGAGGGAAGGAGCAGCCCAGGGACCTGCCAGGAGGAGAGGCTGGGAGGATGCCAGTCTGAGAAAGGCTGTGGCATCCAAGAGAAAGGCTCACATTTCAAAGTGGGAGAGAAATGAGGCAACACTTCCTACTCCAAGGTCAGTAAAAAGACATGTTGTAGTCACTGGATACGGGTGAGGATTTAGGGAAGTGCTGAGGGAGGGAAGGGAAGGACATGAACCTCACAAAATGAATTTATGTTTCTTCCACACCCCCAGAGTCCAAGATAGTTGCAGTTTCCAGAATAGTTCTGCGTAGGAAAAACTACAGCTTTGAAGAGCCAATTTAGGTGCTTTATTTAGACACTTCTTTAAACCTGATCTGTTCTGTAACTTGGATTTACATTCCTGGGCTCGTTCAGTCTATTGTGTGCTTTTCCCCCCTCCAGTGTCACCTGGGTGTTTGCTCTTTGCCCTCTCCAGCTGTGGAGGTGGAAAAGCTGCTTTGGTTTGCAATTCACACCTCTGCTTACAGACACCAACAGAATGTCAGATGCTGGGTTGGGGGGACCTATTTTGTGTCATTTCCATTTCTGTGGTTTTTTTCTTGTTTTTTTTTTTTAGGCAAATATAGCCCTGATGGAAAAATATAGCCTGGGTTTGTCTGGGAGTCTCTGACTGAGATTCCTCCCTCTCTATCTGTGCCCAGGCACAGCCACAAACTGCAGTGACACCACGTAGCTCTGCCACCCTCCTGAGCCACCCACCCCTGGGTGCTGCCTGACTGTGATGACAACCTGACACGAAACACATCCCAAACACACACCAGCACATTCACACCCTGGCATCCTTTTTGGGTTCAGGCCTCAGAACACCCCACACTCCACACCCCTCCTGTGACCACCCCGTGACTGCCCCCCCTGCCACGTGCTCTGGGTGACACCTGAACAACAATGCTCTGGCTTTCTCAGAATTATTTCTTAATTAACCGATATTTTTTTTGAAGAGAAACTCCAAGACAGACTGTGTGTTTGTGGTTTGATTCTCTTCTTTCAGCAAGCACCGAAATAATTCAAAAATTGGCTGGGAATGGTCTGTTCAGACTGGGGCTGCTAGGAAATACTTCATAACAAAAAATAAGTGTTAATAAAGCCACAAGAAAGGAAAGACCCAGGAAAGTGAGATTAAAGGTCTGTAAGACTTCTCCATATTTCCTTTTCTGGGGAAAAAAAATGAAAAATAAAAAAAGGTCCAAGGTTTGCAGGCTGTTTGAGGGGCTCTCCTGGGAACCTCTTCCCAGCTGAGCTGTGCTCCTACCTGGCAGGTTGTTGATGTAGCCTCCATCCATGAGGAGATGGCCATCCTTGGGGTCACAGAGGGGGGGCATGTACCCCGAGAGGGACATGCTGGCACGGACATATCTCCACAGGGAGCCTGCAGGGGGACAGGGAGGGGTGGAACCACCATTAGGGGGGAGGTTTGGACACTCATTAAAACGATCAGGAGACCGAGGCTTTCCTCAGAACGCTGCGAGGAACTTATTAAAGCAGTTTCTTATTTCCTACATCGAAATCCTGGCTAGGAAAAAACCCCAGATTATGCAAAAACACCACGGGGCAAAAGCCCCAGAAGGCAGAGTTTTCAGCCCATGCCTCACATTTGCTGCCTTCCAGGAGAGCTCAGCATATGCCTGACTGCAGGAATCATCTTCAGGGCTTTGTGAGGCTCAGGCTGATGAGGGAAGGGAAAGGCTCCTCCTGGGGACAGGGGGACACACAGAGCAGCTAAAGCCATGAAGTTCTACAGAGATCCACTGACTTTTAGCAGGACCTGAACATGAAAAATACACGCTGTAAAATCCCCAAATGTGAAACCACTGCAAGTGCTTGGTGGGGATCATATCTCTGTTATCATTCTGTTAGTGCTGTGAGGAACAAAGTTATAATCCTTTAAGCTGGCAGAAACAGGGTTTAATCAAGTAGAAATTGATTGCATCTGTTTCCTCTAAAACATTCTACTTTAGGGCCCTTAAACACTGATTCTTCCCTTAACATTTGCATCAGCTGAATTGGGAAGACACTGCATTTCCAAGGGGTCTTGTCTGAGAAGTGAATCTTTAAAATATCAAGAGTAAGTGAGCCTTGCAGTGTTGGCTCAGTGCTCAGTAATTAACTGCCTGCTGCTTCAAACAGCAACTCTTCCCAGCAAACTGGGAACTGATTTTTTTCTTTTTCAAACAGATCACAGTTCTGTTTCTAATTATAACCCCAGCACTCCTACTGTTAGCACAGGTTAACACTGGCAGATTTGGGGTTTAATCTGCATAGTTTTAGTTGAGTTGGAACTTCCACCTAAGAAAAAGGCTGACTTTTTGTGTTACACCTCACAGAGCAAGCCAAGATGGGAAATGGAGGCAGCTGGGAACTTAATTCCTCTCCCTTCAGTGAATTCTGGAGATGACCATAAAGATTCTCCAGGTGATTTCTCTCCTTATATTAAACTTCCACAGGGACAAGCAGCTGGATGGAGTGACTTTCTTGACCTCGATTTGCTTAACCTGCTGTGGAATGGGGAATACAAAGCCTCTAAAGGGATTTAATCCTTTTTCTGCTTGTTTTAGCAGCCCTGGTTGCCCCTGATCAAAGCCCCCTGTCCTTCAGGGGCTTCCTGCTCCTGAACAGCAGGAATGCACAGTCCTACCCCTGCCAGCTCCAAGGACAGAACATCAGAGAAGTGGCAGCAAAGGCTTCAGCTCCCCAAGGGAATATCTGGGGCACCTGGAGGGCTGTGCTGCCTTCAGTGAGTCTGAGTCACTGCCCTGTCACCCCAAATAGACAAAAGCCAAAGCCAGTGTCCCACAGGGATGTCACCAGGTCAGCAGCTCGGATATTTCTCCCTTGTCACTCACTGAAGTACATCAGTTTTCCTCCAGAGAAATAAAAAGGACTGGCCACAAATGAGAACCTAACCCAGCCTCTGCTTCAGGCACAGAAATCTGTTCTTTGGGAAAACAGCTTTCTTCTTTTTTTTTTTTTTTTTGTAATGTGGAATTTGACTCTTAAAAGGTTTTGATTGCATTAAGTCTGATTTGTGGCTAAAACACCTGCACTTCATGGGATGATCTAAGGAAACACACTGGTGTCAATGGGCCCATTTTCTCCCAAAACAGTGAATTCAGCATCTTGGTTAATGCCTTCCCCACAGCTCTGTTCCTTGTTACCTGTGTACAACCCCAGTTTGGTGCTCAGCAAATAACAGAGGAGGGAAAAACAAAAGGAAAGGCAGATTTATAGGTGAGACAAAATTCCAGGAATAAGGGGTGACCCTGAAGCCTCACATCACGATTTAAGACCTGGAGAAGGTCCAGTGCACACTCACCATCCCTGTGGACCCTCATGGCTGAGGCAGTGATGTCAGTGGTGATGGTGAAGTAAGGAATCCACAGATCCTGCAACAGAGGAGGTCCCAAATTTACTAAATCTGAAACCCTGCACTCACCTACCCCCCCTGCCTGACACAAACCAAAGCAACAACCTCTGGATCTCACCAGACAGAGCTGCAAACACCTGCATGGATGGAGGAACAGCCCTCAGCCCTGAGTTCACACATTTGTTTCTTATGCAAACATTTCATTCAGAATCAAGGCAGACAAAAATCCTTATTTCCTTTTTTTTTTTTTTTTTAATTGAAGAACCCCTTGTTCCAGCAGACTGTCCAGCACCCAGAGACCTCCCCACTCAAACCAGAGGTCACCTTCTGTGTGAAGCCTTTATTCTCCTGTCAGGAAGGGTGGGGGTTTGATGGCCCCACTCTCACCCAGAGGGATCCTGAGGCTGTTTGGTGCTGGAGGACAAGGTGAGGGGAAGACTCACCTTTCAGATGTTTGGTTCTTATCTAGGTCACAGCACCTGCTGCTTTTGGCCTCCCCTGGGGACATGGCACTTGACCTCACCAGTGTGGCCCCTGCATTGCAGCCAACTCCTTCCACTCAGGGGGTGTTTGTCCCCTCTTCCCAGCAAGTCTCCCATAACCATGTTCTCCAGGGATCAGTGTGCAACTACTGGGCAGTATCTTCCCTGCCTTGGTCCCTGAGACACCCCAGCCCAAGGCAAAGAGGGCAAGAACGTGATTTAGGGCCTCGTGACTGACCAATCTGAACCTCCCGGTGGTGGGGCCAGGGGTCATTTCAGCAGGAAACGCAGACCCAAAGCTGGCAACACCAAACAACTCTGGAGCATCAGCTACAGGAACAAAGGGTCCTGCAGGGCACATCTCCAGGAAGATCCTAGAAGCTGACTGAGATCCTGCAGGGTAACACAGCGTGGAACAGAAGAAGGAGGGTGAGATGACACGAAAAGAGCGGCCAAGCCAAGTGCTTTGTGCAAGTTTATTCAGCAAGGCCAGAGCAAAGCAGCCAGCCCTGCTCCTGCCAGGGGGAGTTCTCATTCCTTCAGCCAGCTCAGCACTCCCATCCTGGAAAAAGCCAATGGAATGGTGATCTTTCCCCCTGCTCAGGGGTTTGCTGGAGTCAGGGCAGTTTTGGAACGTCTCCATGGTGTCTGGTGAAACGGTAGCTGCCAAGGGGAAGGAGCAGGACTTGGCTGAGTAAACTGAGCTTATCCCGGGGAACAGCTGATGCTGCTCTGTCAATCAGCAAAGCTGAAACAAGGCTGAAGAGGAAAACCTGCTCTCCCAGCTGGCCTTTGTTCACGGGACACTGTCTGGGCCTTCTGTAGCACAGCCTTGATGGGTCTCAAACTCCAGTTAAACTGGGTTTGGACTCCAGTGCCAGGAGGAGCTGGAAGCTCTCCCCCACTGGTCAGGCTGCAACCCCTGCTCTGAGTTTCTGTGCTGTTCAGTCTGAAATTCTGCACTGCCACGAAGCAGGTTTTTTTCTAGAGAGTTTAATCTCTTCAGCAGCTCTGCAAAGATGGTGGGGCCGGGGAGGACTCACAGATGCTGCACCAGTATCACAACCCAGCTGGTGGAAATGCCAGAGGAAGGAGGATGAGTAAAGTGTGACTATGGGAGTATTAGGATGCCTCTCCATGCTGAAGATATTCTGGTAATTGCAGATCCCAGTGTATCAACCACTTGTTACCAGTGTAAGTAAAAAGAGGGGAATGGGTAAAGAAGCCTCTCTGACACATCCTTTCAGACACCTGCCCAAAGGAAATGAACCCAAGCCCTACCAGCAGTAATAAAGACTGTAATGCTCAGGGATCCTTCCACTGGTTTTGGAACAGAGCATTAATCAAGTCTTAAACAGGGCTTAATAAAATCTCGTCTGGTTCCTCACACATTAACCCCAAACTGACAACAGCATTTTGGCACGAGGATAAAAATTCTGGCATGGGGAGTAAAAATTCCAGAGCCTGGTGTTCTCCCAAAGGGATGGAGAAATTCAGAGGAAAATAATTGTATTTCTTGAGAAATTTCTTCCAAGAACCTTGCCCTTGGTTTCTGTGCCCAAGTGCCCTGTCCTGGGTTTCCAGGTGCCCTCTGAAGGCCATGCAGAGGCTGATCCCTGCTTGGGGAGCACCCGTGGCTGGAAGCTGCTGCAGCAGTGACAGGGTTGGTGTCACCAGGGCTCCCCCACAAGCAGCACTGCTGGGAATCGAGAGACACCCACATTGCAAGGGGTGGCAAATTCAGGAGAAAATGGAAACCTCCCTTTCAGTGTCAGAAATAACAGCTCGACGTCAGCGTTTCTGCTCCTGGCTCTGATGCGGGAGAGGGAGGGGGACCCACATGTGTCACCTCCCAGCCACAGGAGGATCCAGCCCAGAGCTTCTTCATTTGAAGCTTTTATAGACAGAGGGTCAGTACCCAGCCACCTCCTGGGTAGGAAGTTCCCAGGTGCTGCTGCAATCCCTGTGGATCCTCCTGGGAAGGAGCAGTTGTGGGTGAGGCTCTAAACACACCCTCTGCTTGTGAGGCTGTGATTAACTCTTATATTATTAACACCTATTTCCAGCTGGAAATCATTGCTACCCACTCAAACCCTCTGCAACTCGTGAGAAAAGGTGGATGCCTGCAGTTTGGCTGCTTTAAATAGTGCTTTGACAAAACACTTGCTCAAGGCTTCACGTTCCCTAGCCCAGCTCCTGGGACCGCCTCAGTCACCCCTTACCCTTGGGCAGCTCCCAGTTCCTTCTGCCCAGTGCCAGGCCTGGTTATCCTGTGCTGCTGGTGGGAATTGCAAGGAAGAATAACTGCCTTTTCCTGGCTGAGCCACACAACATCTGCCCTTATTTATCTGAGGGAAGTTCCCATCTGAGGAAACCCCTGGGCACGAGGGGTTTTGCTGGTGATGCCCAGCACAGACACACAAGGGTGATGCTGTTGGATGTCCCACAACTGGACAAAACCCTCCTGTGACTGCAAGGGTAGAACAGAACATCCCACCACAGCTGTTAAAATTCCTAAGAAAGGAACCTGCTGCAACTTAAAAGGGAAGTCCGATGAGCTGACTGCTGGAACCCGAGCAGTGATAGATAGAAATGGCCTTGAGCTGTGCCAGGGGAGGTTTAGGTTGGACAGTGGGAAAAACTTCTGCGTGGAAAGGCACTGGAACAGGCTGTGGTGGAATCATCACCCCTGGCAGTGCTCAAACACGAGCAGATGTGGCACTTGGGGATCTGGCTGAGTGGTGGCCTTGGCAGTGCAGGGGGAATGGATGGGACTCCACCCTGGAGGGCTTTTCCAACCTAAACAATTCCATGATTCCACAGAGCAGGGACACCTGAGCTCAGAGGGGATTTTCTTCCAGGTTGTCCCTCTCTCCTCAGTGCTCTGCTCAGTGTTACCAACCCTACCCTGCCCTGCCCCACCCAAACTCACTCCAAGGGAGCCCAGAGGGGACGTGGAGCTCTGGGGGCTCTGCCTGAGGCCAGGAATCCACGGCAAAACAAGTGCAGAGGAGCTGGGCAGTGCCTGGACAATCACATGTTTTCCACCAGGCTCTGCTGCACCAAAGATAGGAGCTGGAGCACTGCAGGAAGGGACCCACATGATTTTGGGTCTGCTCAAACACCACCACAAAAATAATCCCAGTCTCTGCAGGACTTATCACTCCCAAACCTGTTTGTTTCCAGCACCATCCCCTCTGCACAACAAACTGCTATTTTAAGCCATGTGATGATTAATCACTTTCATACTTCCACGTAAGTAGGGAATGTTTTGGATTATTTTTAATAAATATATTTAAAGTCTCTATACAGTGTTGATTTGCTACATAACCTTTCATCACAAGGATTCCAAACACAGGAATAATTTGGTTAAAATGGAAAATGAGGTAAGACTGCAAAGCTACCCAAACACTCCCTAAGCTGGGTGATCCAGGAAGACAGACATGGATGATGTGCTTTACCATCTGCTGCTGCTGAGGGACAAAGGACAGGTGGGGTTCCCAAGGTGGCTCTTGGCTCAGGTGGACCATTCAACACCCAGCAACTGCAAAAAGGTCACCAAGTGCAAACCAGGACACAACACACACTGCCATTACTGCAGCTCTCAGCAGGCTGCTCAGAAAAACTCACTCCAGTTTCAAAAATAAAACTGAAAAAAAGCCCAACCCGTTGCTACCCAATTCAAGCCCCTCTGTGGTGTGCCCTGAAGGTCCCTGAAGACCTGATTTGCAGAAAAATAGTGAGGGAACAGTCTCAGCAATTCTCCTACGAGTGTCACTTGTGCTCTCAGACAATGGGATCCCTTTGTCAAACAAAAGTGGCTACAAATAACCTACAATTTGTGTTTTCTAAATCCACCAAGAAGAGAGAACAGGCTCCTTCCTATAGCCATGTGACATCACATTCCCACTTCCACCATATTTTTAGTCATCCCACAGCCCCAGATTCCTTATTAGCATGGGAAAAAAGCTATTTCTGCTCCAACAGAACACAGTGACATCATTCCCTAAACATGAGGTGAAGATGCACCTACCTCTATCTGCTTATCTTTGAAGATGTTGTTGATGCTGTTGTTAAAAGCTGCTCCAGAAAACATAGAGGTTATTGGATAGGTCAGGTCTAAAATAGTCTTAAACACCGAGTTCATAACCTAAAAATAAAAAAAAAAAAAAAGGTGTTTCAGAGGTAAATATTGGCCAGAATCCATATGACTGTGGGCATTAATGGCTGCAACTCCAGAGCCATCATATTCCAGAGTTTAGGGTCGACATGCCCGAAGCGTCACAAGTGAGCGCAGGAGGTGCAGAGGGGACAGAAATACAGCTGCAAAAACCACAACCAGGAGCATCTTGTATGGCAAAGAAAAAGAAAACCAAAAGCAGCAGCAACCTCTGCAGCCAGTCTGCAACAAAGCTGGGAAAACATGCACTGCACTGCTCCCCCTGAGCCCCAAAACCAGCCCATCCCACAGAGCAGCAGCTCAGCCTCTGCACATGCACGTGGACGGTGCAGCTTTATCCTCTGTGATTTGCCAAATAACAAAAGGATATGAGGAGTTATCTCCCTCTTCACCATCCCTTCCGATGGCTCAGCAGTGTGGGAAGGAAACCAGTAAATCCACACTAGGGGAACCCAGCCCTTAGTCCATCTCCTCTCCTTTGGGGGGGGTCACATCTCATTTTTCTCCCAGTTTTGAAGCTTTTAAAGCCTCAGTTGTTGAAGCACCTAGAGAACTGTGCCTGGGATTCCCTGGGACTGCAACACTTTACAGAGCTTTAAACACTTTCCATGGATCAGGGCTGATAATCTGCCACTCCAAGCTGAGTTATTTGGTTATGTGTGTTATGGGCTCAGCATTCAGAAACTGCTCAAATATCCCTGCAAGAGCCAGGGAAACCGAACCCCAACAGGATCCTTGAGGCATTTTTTTTATAGAGCCCTTTCACAGCACACACCAGGCACTGTGTCTCTTTTAAACACACATCTATTGGAATTAAAGCTTTCATGGGGTTCTTTTTTTTCCCCATTTCAACAGCTTTAATACACCTGTGCACTAACCTATTAGATAAAGGGGTGAAAATCCCTGACCTTTACGGCATTTTGACCATTGTATTTGTCCATAACCAGGGTATTGGTGTCAAATCCTAACAAATCCTAACAAAATTCGCTGCTTTATATATTTCACCACAGTTAAAATGGAATAGATGACCAAAAAACCCAATGAATCCCTTCCCCATTAAATGGGGCGAAACATTTCTGCTGGATGGAGCATCTTCTCTCTCTACATGTTCTCTCTAATTTAACAAACAACTTCACAGAGAGCAGGCACAGAACATGGAACAGCCTCAAACCTGCTGTTAAAGCAGCTGTGAGCAACATCTGGCCTTGGCTTTGCTCTAACAGTGATTTAAAGAGCAGCAGGATTAGCTGCTTTTAAATATAGATGAGGGATCTGCCCAGAGAATACATGCCCAAGTATGAAAAAAAAAGATCCTTGAAAACAAGTCTACGAACAGGAAATGTGGGAGAACGTAAAAGCCTGAGCACAAACCCAATTATGAACAGTCAGCTTCATTCACATCTTCATTTTGGGGTTGATGGGGTGAGTACAGACATGCTGCCCACAGCTTAGAGTGAAATGGAATCAGTTCTGTACTTAAAATAGGGCTTAGGACTCTGACAGTAGTCACAATGATTAGATCAGGGGAAGAGGCATTTCCAAAAAGCCCTTTATTTAATACTGAAGAACAACCTCTCCCACTCAGCACCAACCACTGGAATTCCTTGTAGCAAATGATATTTCTGATGCTGAGCCTCTACATTTCCCCTGCAAGTAATGCCCACAGCGAGCTTGTCCATGGACAAAATACTTCTAATTAACTTCTATTCCTTAATATTCTCATTCCTCATAGCTGGGAGGTGCTGATGGCCAACAACCTCCCTCAGCCTTCCAAGAATAGCTGCTCCCACCTCCCATTCCCAGATAAATCAAGATAAAGATCACCCTCTGGAAAGGCAGATGGAGCCTTCTGGTTCTTGCTCCACTTCCTACCAAGAGCTCAAGGGCCACGAGCAGGGACACCTCCCACCATCCCAGGGTGCTCCAAGCCCTGTCCAACCTGGCCTTGGACACTCCCAGGGATGGGGCAGCTACAGCTTCTCTGGGAATCCTGTGCCAGGGCCTCCCCACCCTCACAAGGGAGAGTTTTTCTTCCTAATTTTACATTAAATTATCATAATTTTTTTTCTCCAGTTCTGCTGCAAGATGAGCTTTCTTTCTTTTAAAACAGACCTTCAATTCTAAAATCTTTTATTAAAGCAACCCTGGGGTTTAAAGCAGCTTCAGCAAGGAAGGGACAAAGTCCTGCTCACACAGAAAACACATGGGATGAGGGACAAGAGGAATTTTCATCTCTGGCTATGTTGGGTTTTGATGGGAAATTGTGGTAAACTGGTGTCAAAACCCAAGATAATCCTGTGATTTTTAGTGTTCCTGAGCATATAACAAAAAGCAAAGGTATGGGAAAACTTGTTGCAAGGTCAAAAATTTAAAACAGATCCAATATTTTTTTTTAAACTACTCCAGGGACCATCCAGCTTTTCCTTTAGTGCCTCCTCAGCATTCATGTATAAGGTTTTAATGATAAAAGCAAAAGGAATTCACACAGAAAAACGTCAAAGACAAAATAAAAACATAACTCAGGGTCGTGGTTTCAGGTAAACAGCACTACAGGGATAGATTTATCCTGAAGGCAGGATGGAAGTTCAGATTTAAAGGTAAGCTATTAAGAAATTTAAGAGTTTAATAAAATTAGAATGAATCCAAGACAGCATAAACACCCTTGAGTCAGGTAAAGGTGAGAAACAGATAAGGAGGTAGGAGTGTGTTTAAATCAGATCTAACCATTCTGCTAAATAGGGTTAATGTTCATTAACATCTCCTCTGCATGATCATCAGTGATGTGATCACTGCAGGGTCAGAGTAGGATGGTTTGGGGCCTCAGCTGGGCACTTCAAAGCAATGGGCACGTTGGGATTTTGCAGGCTGCCTTTTACCTGAATCTCCCCAATTCCAATTCTGATTTAGGGTTAACCTCAACACCCCAAATAACACAACTGAGATGGTAAATACGAACCAGACCACTACATAAAAGAAGATTTTTCTTACAGCTCTTAATAAAGATAAATAAATAAATAAATAAAATAAAGATTTAACAAAACACACCCAGCACTTTTGTCTTGTGTGGTTAATCATCTGAAATGCAGAATTCCCTGTGCAGAGGGAAGGCTCCAGCTGGCTGAGCCAAGGGAAAAGCCATCTGCCCTGCTCTAATTGCTGGGAGCAGCCTGGGGAATCCAACTCCCCAAGTGCCTGATGCAGTTTGAAAGGTGCAGTTCAGAAATCCCCAAGCTCTGCTGTGCCCCCTGGCAGGGGGACACTGTCCTGGAGCCCCAGCAGCTGCAGGGCACCCAGAGCGAGGGGTCTGCAGCTCATCAGCCCCAGTGAAGAGACAACAGCTGCCTGTTCATTAACACCCGACCTGTAACGAACCTCTGGGTTATTCTGGACTCACGGGGTGTGTTAGAGCTGCTTTAGCTCCTGTTCCCAGCTCCTGCTGTGCCTGCCCCAGCGCTGCCCAGCACCCAACACCCCTTCACCCAGGGCCTGGCACCAGTTCTTTGTGCCCATCCAGTCTGGCCACGTTTCCCTGCTCAGCTCAGAGCCTGTGTTTGTTTGCAGGGTTTGGAGCTGTTGTTGTTGTTGTTGTTGTCCATAAACTCTGGCACGGGAACAAAATCAGAGTGTGGGATGAGAAGTGATTTACGAAACACTGCACCTACCAATGATCCTCCTCGGCAAAGGGACCATTTGTGGCTGTCCCACCCTCCCCCCCAGCCCTGCTCCTGAGCCCCACCTTGCTCCTGCACCTTCCCAATCCATCTCCAACCTGCACCAGGGCCCACGGGGGCTGTGGGTGGGGGTGTGGGCATCACCCAGGATGGCAGGGAACAGCTTGTTCCTCAAAACAACAGAGGGAGGGAGCTGGGGGGGCTCAGCCTGGACAAGAAGAGGCTCAGGGGGGACCTTCTGGCTCTCTGCAGAGAGTGGGGGGGGGTCAGGCTCTGCTCCCAGGGAACAAGGCACAGGAGGAGAGGAAACAGCCTCAGGTTGGGCATCAGGAGGAATTTCTTCATGGAAAGGGCTGCCCAGACCTGGCACAGCTGCCCAGGGCAGTGGTGGAGTCCCCATCCCTGGAGGTGGCACCTGGGGGCAGGGTGTAGTGGTGGCCTTGGCAGTGGTGGGTGCACTTAGCGATCTTGAAGGTCCTTTCCAAGGGTTCTGTGATTCCCTGAGGGGTATCAGGATCCAGTCTGACAGCAGATTGATCTGACCCAGCTGAGGCTGCTGGTTCTGCACCCCCCATGCCCTGGGCCAGCCCAGCTGCCTCTGCAGCAGCTCACGGAGCTGGATGAGAAGTACCACGACAGGGAAAAAAAACCCCAAAAGGACAAATTTCTGGCCAGATCAACTTGTTAAACCACAGTATCTCTCTAGAGCAATGTCAGAGGCAGAACCTCAGGGCTGCAGCCTCAGAACCCCCACATTTGTTGGAGCTGTCGGTGCCACCACAGACAGTGGCAGACATCAACTGGCCCACCCATCATCCCACCCAGCCACCCCTCCCAGTTCCCATTATGGAAAGCCTCTTGGCTGCACAATCCTATAACCATATTCCCTTCCCCAGTAGAATATTCCACTCTCTGTGAAATATTTATACTTTAAAATATTAATTCTCCAATTAAAAAAGCCAACAATCTGCAAACATGAAAGCTTTGGCTTGTTTGCTTTGCTGGTTAAATCGAGGTATAGAAGATACACAGAAGCAATAAATAGTAACTAGTCTGACTTGGAATTTTCATATCCCTCTGTATTTTGACAAAAGAGTCATTTATTTCTTTGCTGCTTCATTTGGTTCAGAAAACACATCCCATTAAAAACACCCCTTCTCCCAGCCCCAAGTGTAAAACCAGAGATATGCCAATATCTAAAAATACCAAAACCAGAAATAACTGCAGGACAAACCCAGCATTTAGTTTGATGGATTTAAGAGATAAATAAAAAAAAAAGATTAGAGTTAACTAATCCATCCCAATGAAGACATTTCCAAACTGCTCCCAGGCTGCAAGAACCTGCCCAAGGAGCTCTCAGCAATCACCTTCCCCAGCACGAGCTGGCAGCTCCAGAGGAGCAGCATCAGCAGGTTCTGGAACAGGGAATGCTCAGGCCTTTCTGCACCACCTTGGCTGAACAAAGGAGCTCCCAGAGCATCTCCTGCACAGCCACCACCCCCCACAGCGGTCCTGCCTGGCTGGGATGCTGCTCTGGGGAACAGCAGGAATGCCCCTGCAGCTTTGGGACAATGGGAATTTGGGGGTTATCTGATGGATTTGTCACCTCTCTCACACTCAGGCCCTTTGGGTGGATCCCCCAAGAACCCCCAGCACACTCCCTGCTGGTCCCCACAGTGCTGGGGCTCAGGGAAAGGAGCCCCTTCCCTTGCTCAGCCTGTAGCTGCAACACAAGAGACAGTAACTCAGAGCAGCCACTGGGAAAAGGATTTACAGTCCCCCAAACCACTCTGAACATTTACTGTGATCTTGGAGAGAGGGATTCATGGCTCTCTTTAACTTACATTCTCTGGACAGTGCTGTTACCAGTGGGAAGGGCCCCAAATAAGAGCAGGCTTTGCTTTTGTCATTCCCAAACCCTTGAGCAGTTTCTGGGTTGGATGTGGATCTATCAGAATACTCATGAAAGACACCAGGAAAATCCATTCTTCATTAAAGAGGTGAAATGTTTGCTCTAACAGAGGCCATCGACCCCTCCTCCTGCTACTTATTTGCAGATTTCAGGGTTCCAACACTTTAAGCAGCCCAGGGCTGGAAAAACTTGCCTTTTCCTTTGTGAAACCTTCTCTGAGCTCTGCAACTTGTGGTCAAAAGTTATCAACAGATTAAATGCCTTCATTTCATCTGCAACTACTCCTGGTCCAAGTGAGTGTGACTCCAGCTCAGGCTGGCAGGCTCCAGAGCTGCAGGGCTGGAAACGAAGCTGGCTGGGATGGGAGCACAGCCCTGGAATGCCCAGGAAACAGCTCTGCCTCACCTCCTCACCTCAGAAGATCTGACAAGGTGATAAACAAGAGGGGAACGCTCTGGAAAAGAGGAAAATTCCATGGCTGCAGCCTAGAGCTGGGAGAGAGGGCAGTGAGCCACGGGAATGCTGGGGCTGGAAAAACAGAGCAGGGAGGAACCACCACACACTCACCCTGCTCAGGTGCTGCCCTGTAAGCACCTGGTGGTGACCTACGTGGGAAACAGAGTGCAAGGTTAAAAAGGGGGTCTGAAACAACTCAGGGCAGTTGGTTTTATGTGCTTAATCTTGAGCCTCCTCCAGCTTTGTGGTTCCAGCAAACTGCTCTGGATCATAAACAGTTTATGTTTTGGGTGCTTCCCAACCCAGCCAGGCACAGGCAGTTCTTAAATAAAAAGCACAAAATCCACACTGTTCCTGCAGACAGTGACAGGGCCCCACAGTGCTCTGCCCACCAGGACAGCACAAACAGGGCAGGGCCTCAATCTGCATTTTAATACCCCAGATTATCCAGCCTGCAAGGTAAGTTGGAAGCCAGAGAGGGGCTCTTTGTCAGGGACTGCAGTGATAGCACAAGGAGTGATGGGCACAGATTGAAAGAGGGGGAATTTAGGTTAGATATTAGGAAGAAATTGTAGAAATTGTTCCCTGTGAGGGTGGGCAGGCCCTGGCACAGGTTGCCCAGAGCAGCTGTGGCTGCTCCATCCCTGGGAGTATCCAAGGCCAGGTTGGTTGTCCCTGCCCATGGCAGGGGGTTGGAATAAGATGATCTCTAGGGCCATTCCAACCCTTTAACATTCTAGGATTTTATGATCTTATCAGGATTCAGTACATTCCATCTCAAAGCCATGGCAGGTTAGAACACAGCTGGGAGAGGTAAACGCTGTCCATGTCCAAAACAGGCTCCTGTTTCCCCCTAAAACCCAAGATCTAAGATGACCCAGAGCTTCATCTCATTTACAAAATTCCCCGTGTCTCTTCATTTTCAACAGAAAACCTACAAGAAAATATGGGTTTGACATGAAAATACAAAGTTATAACCAGCAAACCTCAGAAATAACAGCCACCTTCAGTCAGTCTGAACCAGTTTCACCTGCTGCTAACACAGTTTTTCTCCAACATCTTATCAATAAATAAAACCAAGGCCAGGTTGGACGGGGTTTGGAGCAGCCTGGGCTAGTGGAAGGTGTCCCTGCCCATGGCAGGGGGTTGGAACAAGATGAGCTTTAAGGTCCCTTCCCACCCAAACCAGTCTGGGATTCCATGATAAATAAACTCACCCACTGGAGTCACCATTTAAAGCAACCTTCCCACAACTTGGGTTAACTATGAAAACAAGTTTTTGTTTGTATGAAATGTTGAAAGCTTAGAATTTCTCCTGGCCCAGAGCCCCACCACTGTGAAGTGCAGGCAGGAGCAGGAGTGACAGGTTTGTAGTTAGTTTAGAGAAGGATTACCTCTGTCCCTCAGTTCCACTGCCACCTGACAGCATGTGAGAGAGAGAGAGAATCACACAAGAGAGAAACACATTCGTTGAGAGTTGGAAAGGAAACAGGTTCCAGCACATAAAAAGAGAAGGTAAAACAAAGCTAAACACAGGTGGACACACTGAAACAACATCCCTGTGCTGGCAGGGGGAGTGGGGGTTGAGCACAGCTCAGTCGGGCGGGCAGAGGGAGCAGCTTCCCCAGGGCCCGTTCTGTGGCACAGACACGACATGCAGGTGGGTCCACCTTCCCTGGGTGCTGCTGGGCTCTCACTGCACCATCCCCAGTGCTCACCATGGCCCACTGGCGGGCTTTGATCCTCATCTGGTTGTAGCTGCGCTCCTCGGCGTACAGGGCGCTCATGAAGGCGCCGATGGACGTCCCTCCGATCATGTCCACGGGGATTCCAGCCTCGATCAGCGCCCTGATAACACCCACCTGGGAGCAGCCCCTGTGCCAAGGGAGGAAAGGACAAAGCCATTATCAGACAAGCAGCCACTGAAAGGATTCAAGACATGAATGGTTCCTCTAAGGAATCGGAGCTGGTGCCAGCTGAGCTGCCAATCCCTCCCCAAACAGTGCCAGGAACAGACACTGTGAAGGCAGGAATCTTCAAACAGGCTCCTTGAGGAGCTGAGGGAGCACAGCCACACAGCCTGGCTTGGGTATGAAAGGCAGTGAGATGAAACAGCCAAGAAAGAATCAAGCCAGGACAGGAGAGGGGAAAGTCACCGTAGCTTTGAGTGAGCAAAATCTACCAAAGCAGTCAGGAACGGCTGGATTTCAGAGCTCTTTCCATGAATTTCTTTTCCAGTGGTTCTTCTCAGAAAGTCAGCCAGCCTGGGATCATGGGAGGGGGCACTGCATGGATTGATAACCAACTTGAAGTTGAAAACAAGAGCGAGATGAAGAGCCATGAGAGGGCAGAGGTTTACTCTGCACACAGACCCAGGAGAGGGGCAGATGAGGAGGCAATGATTGAGGATTATACAAAATCCTTCAGGAGAGTTAATGCATTCCTTGATTGCAAAAAGTGCAGAAGCAACTCAGAGCAATGATGGAATCAAGTGATAAACAACAGATGACCCTCAGTGCTGATGGGACAAGAGGAAAACAGAAGCAGCAATGCCCCTACAGCAACAAGCCCTTAATCTAGCCCTGCTCACACTGGGAACCACTGGGAATATTCTCTGGAAAACATTTACCTACTGTTCAGTGCAAATTCAAGTGGCAAGTCAAAGTGGCCAGAATAAAACAGAAAGCATAAGAACATACACCCAGGATGGACCAGCATTTGGAAAACTGCAAGCTCAGACTTCTCACCCAAAAATGAAGGAGCAGAACTAGAAAATGACAGAGAGAAGCACAAAAGATGACCAGGATATGGGAAAGACTTCACATAAGAACAAACTAAACTTAAATCACTGACTAGAGAGGACCCTGACTGATGGGAGGCATGCAGGGCCAGCAATGATATCACCAGGCAGAGATTTTAATGCAAAGGAAAGAATTCACAGACAGGTGTATGTAAAGCACAAATTGGGGAAACCACTGCTACCACATGCTGAAGAGGTCAAATCACAAATGGATGTAAATGTGGAAAGGATGAATCAAAGGTGCAGGCTGTCAGTGGCTACTAAACATGACAAATGGGAGGTGCAAGCTGGTGTTCAGGAGGCTCAGAAGCTGCTAATTGCTGCAAATATTCCTTTCTGAAGCAATCACTGCTATCCTTCATCAAAAATGAGAGAGCAGAGGTGGAACGTTTGATCTGATCCCATAAACACCTGATCAAATCTGATTTTCTAACCCATAATAGGAGAGGGATCCCAGTCCATCCTACAGAACCACCACAGAAACAGAGGAACTGGCAGCAGAGACTGACTGCCTTCAGAGCAGCCCAAAATTACAGCCTCTGCTTTCAAATGCTTTGTCCAAAGAGCACAAAGCATTTGGATTAGTTCACCCCACCTGGCTGGATGCTGTGCAATCTAAGCCATACAGCAGTAAAAACCTTCCTTTTCCCGTTTTCATCCCATTTTTCTGTCCCTGGCTCGCTCTATTTCCATCCTCCTTCCCCCCTTGCTGTTTACATCCTATAAATACTTGCTGACAGCTGCCAAGTCCACCATAGGTGTCATTTGGCCAAGTTATGCTGAACACATTCTTTCCATCCAAATAAATCCCCTCCAGCTGCTGAAACGCTCTGGGACAGGTTTGTGGTTATCCTGGTGTAAATGACCTCAATGACAGGCCCGAGCTGCTGAAATCCAAGAGCAGAAAACGGCTCATTTCCCTTCCCTCTCCAAATTTTCCTTCCCCTCTTCTCCTACTGCTTGTTCTTATCAGATGCCCTGAGTTAATAGAATTATGTTTCCATCCTGCCATTGTTTTTAGGCTTCCAGAGTGCAGCTATTTTTGCACTCTGCTGCTCTTGCCTGGCGATTCCTGCTGCCTCAGCCCCCGTGTTCCACCAAGGAACAGACCTCACCCCACCAACCTGCTCCCTGGATAGCCTACATCATGTGGGATTTTTAAGACATGTTAAATACCTTCAAGTATTTCCTGCCTGGAGGAGAATTTTGAACTGGCCAGGACCAGCTCCAGACTGGATTCTCTCCCTTTAACTGGTTCTCCTAATTCACATGTCCATAAAATAACAGGGATCTGATGTGATCACTCTGGGTTTGTTCCTACTTTGCTGCATTTGAACGCATAACAAAAAGATCATTATTCCTGGTATTGGCAAGCCAGCCCCTCCATGCTGTGCATCCACAGAGTCCCTGCCAACATCCACTAAACGTGTGACAGCCCCAGATCTCCAGCAGGCACCTCGACCCCAAAGCACCCACCTGCAGGATGGGGAATCAAAGGACTTTTCCTGCTTGTAAAGGGACCTCCAATAAGCTGCCAGACTAAATTATGTTTCATTTATACACAACCACAACGCTGATTGTTCCAGCTCCAGCACCCTGAGCAGGAGCATTTGTGAGGGGAATGTGTTTGTGCAAACAAAATCCTGAAGAAAGGCAAACATGCCTCAGTCCCCCCATTTCTCCATGCACCACCTGGCCTCCTGAAAGATATAAATGAGGGGTTTTTTCCCCCTCCTCCCTACAGCTTGAGGCCATCATTACCCCAGCAACATGAAAACTTCTCAACAGCTCCCCACGGTCGGTTCTCTCTTGGCCACCTCTCTGCAGCTCCACAAACACGGGCAGGCTGCCAAGGAGCCGAGTGCCATTCCAGGGACACACATCCCGCTCCCTGCCAGAGGCTGCAGCATCCCAGGGAGCTGGGCTGGGCAGCTCCCAGGCTGCAACCCAGGAGGAAAACAAACTGAAGCCGGGAGCGAGATCTGTGTTAACAGCCAGAGTACCAGGGAAGAAAAAAAAAAAAAAAACACAACAGGGATCGTGCACTCCTTGTAATACCAGACCCCATCTCACAGGGGACTTGTCCTGGTTTAGGGCAACACGGGAAAGTACAAGAGGAGCACGAAGGGAGATCCCTCGTGCCAGTGCTGAACACACACAGCAGTGCCAGGAGGGGACAGGGAAAACCTCCAGTTTACCTGGATGACAGGGAGCTGATTGTCACTCCCTCCAGATGGAAAGAGGAACAGGAGAGTCCTGTTAGATTGGAGGAAGGAGCGTCCCAGAGAGGGGATGCACACACTGTGTGTCACTGGAGCTGCACACACAGCTGTCCTTCACCTCAGTGCTGCCTGGAGGTGCAGCTGGATGGAGCATCTCCCCTGCCAGGGTTAATGCCTGTCCCAGGACAGTGACAAGGACTCCTGGCACCGAGGACACAACCCACAAGACAGTCCCCTGATCATTTGCACCAGAACCCAAAGATTTGCCCAAGGAGTGCAGTCTAAACATTAACAGGAACTCTTTCCCACCGTGTGTCACTCCCCAGGACTGATCCATTAGTGCCCTTTGCAGAGAGAGCAGAACTGGCACCAACCAGGGTGAGGAGGAGCTGGAAATCAGAGCCAGGCTCTGTTCTCACCCTGCCACTGCCCCAGCCTGACCCTGAGCAAGGCAAGGCATGGGCTGCTCTGGGCATCAGCTGCCCCAGGAGCTGCTCACTGCACTGCCCTCCAACTTGTGCTCAGTACACTCCAAAAGCCTCCCAAAGCAGTGCTGTACTTGCTAAATTCCAAGCACCATTCTTTCTTTACTGCTAATGGTCACAAAGAAAAGACCAGGGAAGCAGGGAGGGGAGCTGTGGGGTTGGAGACCTGCTTCCCTAAATACCACAGCACACAGAGAGAGCTCAGCAGAAGGACTTGCAGCAAAATTCCTGCTCCTGAAATGAGCCCCTGCTTTCATCTCCTGGGGAAGTGCCTCTGGCATGTGACTGCAACGCAGGAGGGCCAGAGCACAACTGATAAAAGAAAAACCCTCCTGCCAGACGTGCATGTGTCAGCTCTGCACGTGCCTGCAGAGCTGGGATTAGATCCGGCTCAGGCTCAGGGAAGGAGGGAGCAAATGCACAGGGCACTCCAGATTCAAGTGCCTGCCAGCAGGAATGCAGGCTGTCCTCCCTGCTCAGGGCAGGGCAAAACACCATCAGTACAAAACCAGAGCCTCTGCACCGATATTTGTCCCACAGCCACGTTTAACACATCCATGGGATGTTGACAGGATAACCACGACCCTGGGAACAGCCAGAGGGGACACTTGTTCTTCAGAGTGAGAGAGCAGCAGGGCTGCAGCTCAACCCCTCCCAGAGTCCACTTCAGCTTCAGAAAGGAAGGGAAAACCCAGCTCAGCCATTCAGCCTCACCAGCACCCATCTCTCCTCCTAATTGACTCAGCAGGATGAAGGAGAGCTCCTGAAGGCTCTGAAGAGATGCCATTTCCTTTGGTTAGAAAAGGATTAAGATCATGGTTGCTGCAGAGCTCTGCTGTGTCTCCTACCAAAGCCCCCCTGGAGTGGACACACAGCTTCCTGCCCCTCCTTCTTTTTGCAGTTACCTGCCAAAGAAGGGGGAAAAATGGAGGAATTGTTGAGGGGACTTTATTAAGCTCCACCAGAGCCCAACAAACCTGAATGGAAAGTGCCCTGGGCTGGGCAGTGCTGAGGCACCTCAGTCCTGGGGTGCGTTTTGGGCCCATCATGACAAGAAAGACACGGAGGGGCTGGAGCGTGTGCAGGGAAGGGAACGGAGCTGGAGCAGCAGGAGCTGGGGGGGCTCAGCCTGGAGAAAAGGAGGCTCAGGGGGGACCTTCTGGCTCTGCAACTCCCTGACAGGAGGGGGGAGCCGGGGGTTGTCGGGCTCTGCTCCCAGGGAACAGGGACAGGAGGAGAGGGAACGGCCTCAAACTGAGCCAGGGGAGGGTCAGGTTGGACATCAGGGAAAATTTCTTCATGGAAAGGGTGGTCAGGCCTGGCACAGCTGCCCAGGGCAGTGGTGGAATCACCATCCCTGAGGGGATT